TAAAATGATTGTTGTTGTTGTTGTTGTTGTTGGTGTTGGTGTTGGTGTTGGTGTTGGTGGTGGTGGTGGTGTTGGTGTTGGTGTTGATGTTGTTGCTGTTGCTGTTGCTGTTGTTGATGTTGTTGCTGGTTGTTGTTGTTGCTGGTGTTGTTGCTGTTGTTGCTGTTGTTGTTGTTGTTGTCGTTGTTGTTGTTGGTGTTGTTGTTGTTGTTGGTGCTGTTGTTGTTGCTGTTGCTGTTGCTGTTGCTGCTGTTGTTGTTGTTGTTGTCGTTGTTGCTGTTGTTGATGTCGTTGATGTTGTTGTTGTTGTTGTTGTGGTTGTTGTTGTTGTTGCTGTTGCTGCTGCTGCTGTTGTTGTTGTTGATGATGATGATGATGATGATGATGTTGTTGTTGTTGTTGTTGTTGTTGTTGTTGATTGTTGGTTATTGGTTGTTGGTTGTTGGGTGTTTGTTGTTGATTGTTGATTGTTGTTTGTTGTTTGTTGTTTGTTATTGTCGTCGTCCCACCCGCGACCCGCCCCGCGACCCACCCGCGACCCACCCCGCGACCCACCCCGCGACCCACCCGCGACCCACCCCGCGACCCACCCGCGACCCACCCCGCGACCCACCCGCGACCCACCCGCGACTCACCCGCGACGCACCCGCCGCCTGCGACCACCCCGCGACACGACCGGCGACCCACTTGCGAACCCGCCGCGAACCCACCCGCGACCCACCCCGCGACCCTCCCCGGACCACCCGCGACCCACCCCGCTACCCCACCCTCCCGAACTCCACCCCGCGACCCACCCGCGACCCACCCGCGACCCGGCCCGGCGACCCACCCGCGACCCGCCGACCCACCCGCGACCGCCGGCGACATTTCTGGCGACCCACCCGCCGACCCCGCGACCCACCCGCGACCCACCCGCGCCACCCGCGACCCACCGCGACCCACCCGCGACCCACCCGCGACCCACCCCGCGACCCACCCAAAATTTTCGGCGCCTGCGGCGGGCTTCTTTTGCATTCGTTCCAGGTGGAGAACCTGCGACCCACCCGCGACCCAAACCGCGTTCAGTGTACAAATCAAAATTTTCGGCGCCTGCGGCGGGCTGTTTTTGAATTCCTTCCAGGTGGAAGTGGAGAGCCCGCGACCCACGCGCGACCCAAACTACATTCATTGAACAAGCCAAAACTTCGGCGCCTGCGGCGGGTTTCTGTTGCATTTGTTCCAGGTGGAGAACTTGCAACCCAAACCGCGTTCAGTGTACAAATCAAAATGTTCGGCGCCTGCGGCGGGCTGTTTTTGAATTCCTTCCGCGCCCGCGCCCGCGTCGCCCGCGCCCGCCCCCTCTTTCTTATCCGAAATTGCGGGGGGGGGGGCGTACCAGATTCATTGGCATTATACCACGCCTCATGCCAGGGAACACGGAGGCGGACTGAGCATTGGCATTGGGCACCCTCCGAGGCAGGAGGCGGAGAGCGCGAGGCGGATCGCGCCGCGCCAAACGGAGGGAAGGGGGGGTGAGGAATAGAAGAAGGTCCTCGAGGTTCAGGGCCTTTTATCCACCAAGACTCAGGGCCTCCTCAGGGCCTCCTCCATCTCCTCCTCCTCGATCTTCTCCTCGTCTTTTTCCTTCCTTCCTCCCTCCTCCTCCTCCTCCTCCTCCTCCTCCTCCCTCCTCCTCCTCCTCCTCGTCCTCCTCCTCCCAGGATGGGAAGGGAGAGGGAATGATTTCGAGGGCCAGCATGGGGGGGGGGGGAGAGGGTGGCAGGAGGCCGGAGGAGGCAGAGGGAGGAGGAAGAGGGACGGCAGGAGGAGGATGCCGGGACGACAACGAGGGAGAGACGAGGAGGAGGGAGAAGACGAGGACCAGCCCCGCTGCGCGAGCTCGCCGCCGCCAGGCGCGCGCGGCCGTGAAGGAGCTGACCGGCACGGAGATGTCAGGTCCAGACGCGGGGGGCACGGGGGCCAGGGACAGTGTCAGGGGGGATGCGGTAGGGCCGTGTCGTGCGGACGCGGTAGCGACCCCGCCGCGGGCGTTCAAGGTTGAATGCCGCTTGTGGCCCAGACTCGGCCAAAGCGGAACGATCTAGTGATCCCAATCCGCCGATCGTTCAAGGCTGCATTACAGTCGGCCCAGATTAGTAGGTCGACCTTGCCAAATCAAGGGTACCCTTGTGTCCTGTGTCTCGCGACCCATGCCTCCTGCATCCCTGTGGCAATTGGGCTCTCGGAAGGGTCTTGTGTCCTCCCGCGTGTCCTGTCCAATCGAGCCCGCCTGTATGCACGCGGTGTCAGAAACCAACGTCGGGGCCGTCACGACCCATCCCGCCCAGGAGCCCGCGGGTTCGCTGCCAGGGGTCTGTCGCCGATCTGTCGGCGATGTATCGTCACGGGAGGGAGGAGAGGAGGAAGGAGAGGAGGACGGGGGGGAAGGGGGAGGCGGAGGAGGGAGGAGGGATGGGAGTATGAGGAAGGGAAGGGAGGACATCGGGAAGGAAAACGTAGCATCAGTGACGCGCCGCCGCTGGGAAACCCGTCGGTTTGTTATTTCTTCGCGCTTGCACTCGGCAACAGCAGGTTGATGGGTGCCCTACGGCGGCGGGTCATGGCTGCTGTGTCGAAGACGCCACGGCGAATCACCCGGCCTTTTGGAATCGCCCATGTGGCCGAACGTTGTGGCCAGAGCTCTGCCAAGCCAGCCGACCATATGCCCCCCCAGCCCACGTGGGAACCCTTCGGGGAACACACGGGGGAGAAAGACGAGGCAGAGGAGAGGGAGGACAAATAGAGAAAGGATGGGGAGAAGGCGGAGGGGGAGAAGGAGGAGAAGAAGGAAGAGGAGGAGGATTCTTGGGGCCATCTGGGAGCTTCTTGTCAGCCGTTCGGCCCCCTGCCTTTTGGAATCGCCCATGTGGCCGAACGTTGTGGCCAGTGCTCTGCCAAGCTATCCGACCATGTGTTTCCCCAGCCGTTGTGGGAACCCTTCGGGGAACACGCGTGGGAGAAAGAACAAGCGGAGGAGAGGGAGGACACATAGATAGGAGGACGAGGAAGAGGAGGAGGAGGAGGAGGAGGAGGAGGAAGAAGAGGGGGAGGAGGAGGAGGAGAAGGCGGAGGACTCTTGGGGGTCTTTTGGGGCTTCTTGGGGGCCTCTTTGGCCGTCTGATGGTGAAGCCGCCTGGGGTCCTCTGTGGACCGACTTGGGGCCCCTTGGGGCGCTTCAGGGCCGTGTTGGAGGCCGCCATGGGCGTGGTTGGAGGCCGCCATGGGCCGTTCTGCGTCCCCTCTCGGGACCGTCTTGGGGGCTTCTTGGGCCGCCATGGGGTCATTGTGGGAGGCCTTTGGGGCCATCTTGGGGCGATCTTGGGGCCCTCTTGGGCCGTCCTGGGCCGTCGAAAGGCCGAAAAGAAGCAAAGGGCAACGTCCTCCAACTACCTGAGTTCAACCATTGATTTGGGCATCTTCGGGCCCTCCTGGAGGACCTTTTGGAGGCCTCTTCAGCTGTCTTGAGGCCATCCTGGGCCGTCTTGGGTGCATTTGGGGGCCATCTTGGGCTCCCTTGGCGTCATCTTGACCGTCTTGGAGGCATCCTGGAGGCCATCTTGGGCCATCTCGGCCGTCTGGGAGGCATCTTGGACTCCATTTTGGGCCATCTTGGGCGAGAAAGGTATTGACATGTACATTGTCCTGGGCCGAAGCCCCAGGGGAAACTTTTTTGGGAACAAGAGCCCAAACCAAGCCGAGTATAGGATCTAGCACGCTAGGCACCCCTGTGGCAAGCCAACAGGGGGCGGCGGATCGAAGACGACTACGGCGAATCACCGCCGCCCCCTGCCTTTTTGGAAGCGCCTGCGTGGCCGAAAGTTGGGTTTGAGCTTGGGCAAACTATCGGGCCTCGCGTTCCCCGAGTGGGTTTCGAAAGCCTTCGGGGAACACGGTGTCGGGCGAGCTATCGGACCAGGTGGTTTCCGAGCTTTCGGGCCTCCTTGATGACGTCTTGGAGGGGTCTTGGGCCGTCTTGGAGGCCTCTGTCGGGCCTTTTGGGCAGTCTAAGGTCATCTTCAGGCCACCTGGGGCCGTCTTGGGTGCATCTAGGGGCTATCTTCGCCGTCTTGGAGGCCTTCTTGGCCGTCTTGGAGGCATCTTGGAGGCCTTCTTGGCCGTCTTGGGGGCTATCTTGGGCCGTCTTGGCGTCTTGTTGGTGCCCTCTTGGGGGCCTCTTGGGCTGTCATGGGTCCATCTTGGAGGCCTCTTGGGGAGCCCCCGCGGGGCCGAGGGCTCGACATGTCCGTTCTGGGCCTCCTGTTGGAGCCGGTCATTGAGGCCTCTCGGGTGGGACGTCTTGGGCCGTTTAGGGCCCCTCTTGGAGGCCGCTTGGGCCGTCTTGGGGCGAGGCCGTCGCGTCTTTCGGCAACCACGCCCCCGGCGCTCGTGCGCGAGCGGCGCTCTTTGCCCGCCCTCGCGCTCGGGCACCCTCGAGGCCCTCGAGGGCCATAGGCGCGCCTCTCGGGCGCCGGGCCCATGCCGGAGCGGCCCGGTGCGGGCAGACTTCGGGGCGATCGAGGCGGGCAGCGCGAAACATGTGCAGCGCGACCGAGCAGGACTCGCTGTCGGTGCCGCCGCGGGCGTTGCCCACTGGAGGCAGAACAGGCCGCCTGCTTGTCAGCGGCCGCTGTCGGTGTTGGACAACAGCTGCTGTTGGGCACTGTGCCCGTCTCCGTTCTGTACTCGTTGCGGGCGTCCAAAGGCACGGACAGTCGCGTCAGTGGGGGCGAGAGCATCTGAGTGACGGAAGAAACGGGGTCGTTTGCGCCAATCCCCGCGCGTAAGGTGCCTGCGTGAGGTCGCGCGTGAGTGCCCTCGTCGCCACTGTGGCGTGCCGCGCTGGCGGCCAGCGTAAGTCGTGGCGTGAGGTCACGATGTCTTCTCGCGTAAGACCCTTTTCTGTTCGTCGCTCGCTTGTTCGGCATGAAGGAAGCGGGTCCTGAGTGACGCGGGACTTCTGTTCTGTTGCCGTTCTGAGGCTCGCAGGACCATCCGCGGGCTTCGGGGTCGTCAGATAACGTCTCGGAGCGAAGAGGTGGTCACGAGCGAGGAGATGGGGTCCTAGCCCTCGCAGTAGGCATCGAATCGTGTGGCCGCACATTCCTCTTGAGACTCGAGGCCAGGTAAGGGAGCCTCGACGCCGTGGTTTTCTCCTGGCAGCGGCTGTATGGCCCGCAAGCCGGAGTCGTTTTCATGTGAACGCAGGCGCCCTGGGCTCGTCGGCTTTGTGGACAGGGAGAAGGGAAGCGGGGAAGGGGGAACACGACGACGAAGGAGGAGGAGGATGAAGGGGAGAGGGAGAAGGAGCAAGAGTAGGGCCGATGGGGAAGAAGGATATGGAGGGGAGAAGAGGGAGAAGAGAGAACGAGTAATCAGATCTTCCTCGCACGTGCTCTGCTCAACCCTGGTGTTCATTGGCGCTGTCTCCCCCAAGGTCGTCCCATCTTCGTTCGAGAAGACAGGGAAGCTGGACATTCCGTGAAGGCCTCGGAGTGCGAAGATGACGACGATGTTCATGATTAGAATGCTAGGGTTGAGAAAGGTTCCATCTTACAGGATATTGACGCTTGCATGTTCGGAATTCGCATCGAGCTTACCACGTGGATCTAGACTGGCCGTATGTTCGCAGGCTTCGTTTGCACGAATTAGTGGCCTGGCTTGCATGTTTTCTCGTTGAGTTCTGAATCACACCCTTTGCCTATCGTCATCACCCAGGCAAGGCAGGGGAGCCGGCGGAAACAGTAAGTAGCATTTGAGTATAACGTGTTACGCGTGTATTCAGCCTTTTTGGAGCTGTTTTGGGTCCTCTTGAGGGCATCGAGGGGGCCTCTTCCGAGGATCTTGGCCCCTTTCTGTCCATCTCGTATGCCTCGAAGACAGAAAATGCGAGCATGCGAAAACCATTCAACGCGTGAGGCTCAAGGATTGTGGCGTCTTGGTTCGTCCGGCAGGGCCTCCATTGCAGCCCGAGAGGCCTCCGATTGGGCTGCACCATTGACCCCCGGAGCCATCTCAAGGCACGTCGGATTTTCAGGACTCCAGGCCGCGCATTCGAGGCCTGCAGAAAAGCCACGCGGCGATCCCCAGAGCGCTTGACGTGTAACGCCCAGGGGCGCCCAAATGATTGTAGAATTCCCGGGACTGAGGCCCTTCAAAGAGGAGTTGCAAAGCACCAAACGTTGGCTTCGTTTAACTTGATAAAAGTCATACAGTCTTTTGGATTCGTCGCACGAGGGGACCAACGTATGTTAGAAAGTCTAGCTAAAAACGATTATCAATGCTGATCCTCCAGTTCGCCTTACAACGATAACAATAATGCAGTTTCAGCATCATTTTACACCCAAGAGTTGTGGTCAAAGGCAGGACCACGTAGATTTGAACGTTTCGTGCCCAGCCTGGAAGCAGACAAATTATAGTCACAAGTACTACAAAACGCAGCACATGCCACTCGATCGTCCAGCAATACTGCGATGCGTACACATTTGCTTAACAACAATGCGTATTGAACTGCTCAAAGGCTTACGCCATTCTGCCGCCTCTCAGAAGACGGACGAAGTCGACTGGTGAGGCTTTTTGGGGCCTCTTGCTGTTTTCCTTGGCGCATCGCTGAGCTTCTGGGGAGCTTCTTGGGAGCTTCTTGGGAGCCTCTGGGGGCTCTTACGGCCATCTTTGGGGGACATGCTCGAGGTCTCAGCTCGTATACCCCCTCTTTGGTCCCTGTGGGGGCTCCCTCGGGGCTGCCTTGGCCGCCTTAGAGGGCCCCTGTAACCGTCTTGGGGCCCTCTTGGGCAGTCCTGGGACTCTCCTGGGGCTCTCTGGGGGGCCTTGTGTGCCGTCTTGGCACCATCTTGGGAGCACCGTGGGCCGTGTTGGGCGCTGAGCAGACGAAGAAGGCGAGTATGCTAAGAATGTGCTCCCAAGGGACTGGCATGATTTCTGCACCGTGGGGCCCTCTCGGCAGCCCTCCAGGAGCATTCATGAATCGTAGGGGGGGCTTCGCGAGCCATCTCGAAGGCATCGTGGACCGCCGTAGGACTACCCCTGGCCGTCTTGACGCTTTCTTGGATTATCTTGGCGCGCTGTTTGGGCTCTCTGGGGCCGTCTCGGGGCTTTTTGGAGGCCCCGAAGGCCCCAAGGGAGCGTTTCAAAGCCGGGCCACATGCCCCCCCCCCCACCCGCAAAGGGATTGTGGGCCCCCGGGGCGGGGGAAAAGGGGAGGGGACAGCCAAATGTCTCACACTCCTATTCGCCACCGGCACGCAGGGGTCGGCGGACAAAACAGTGTTGGCACAGCTTGGGCCAAATTGGCTTCAGATGCCCCCCCCCTCTCTCGCCTTGTCCGCGCTTGGCATGGCAGCATAAATCATAGCGCAGAGCATAGCAGCACAGTGCACAGCATAGCGTAGCGCAGCGCGTCTGTGGACTCTGAAGGGGCAAAGGGGCATCCGCCTAGGACTCCGCCCCATGGGCCCATGGGGTATGTGATAAGTATGTGTTATGGTGCTGTGCTGGTATGTTATGTGCGGTACATGTTTTTGGTAGGTGATTCGTGATCTGCGCCATGAGCGATAGGCCCATGGGCCTCCGCAGCACCATATGCCCATTGCACATATGTGCAGGTCTCTGCATGGGACTACGCATAGGTGCCTAGGGCTCTACCCCATAAGCCATGGGCCATAGGACGCAGCCTCGTAAGCCGTAGGACATACGATTCGAGGCCATAGGACCAAGGGCCATCATACTCTAGACCTGGTACTTCTATACGCTATACCTCTATACACCCATATCGCAGGCTCCATCTTCTTATCATCACGAACCTATGTGCACCATCCGATATGCCGAGGTCCAAGGCGTGAGTATCTCCCTTGTGATCTGTTAGGTGGTCCGGACTGCATGTTGTAGGTTACACGTTTTTCATATTACCACGTCACATAAGTTCAGAATATCGTATACACAAGAGACCGTCGACTATGTTAAACACGGTTTCCGGAAGGCATTCGAACACAAGGTGCACACACACACACACAAGTGCGCACACAAAGCGCACAATCGAGGCTAAATTTTGAAACGCAGCGCCAGGAATCGCGCACCCTCACGGCGCACACACGGCGCACACGAGAATCATAACCGAAATTTCTGTTTTCGGAGGTCATGGTGCACACAAGGGCGCACACGAGGCGCACGCGAGCAGATGGGCCCTCTCGTCCTGGAGCCACCCACCATGGAATCGCAGGCCCCCTGCATCCGGCCTGAGACTTCAATGAGTTTGGGCGAATCGGATCCAGGCCCGAGGTCTCGTAAAACCTCCGCACGCCTGCATCCTCACCCGCCTCCCCAGCCGCCTTAACCCGCCTCCTCGCCCGCCTCTCCGGGGTTGCTAGGCGGCCCGCCGCGGGCTCGAATCGCGAGCAGTGTCCGATGCTTTTTAGATGACCGGCGCAATGAAAATGAAGCTCAGTAATCACAACATCCGGAATGCCGCAGGAATTTACTTGTGTTTGGCTTTGGGAAGCCGCGAAATGCTCAGGGAAAGCTCGGGCAATAACTGCATGCAAGAAGAAACGGAATCGTCGTGAGAGATAATTGGAACATTGGCTGGGCTGCCTCTGTCTCCCGCCTGCTCGCGGCGCTGGACCCCACCCCTGTCGCCAGGCGTTGCCAAGGGGTCCAGCGTCGGTCCAAGAAATCCGCGCGGGCCTCGTTTATTGAATCGCTTCGCTCATTCCGCCGGCCCATTTCGCATGACTGAGCCTCTTGGGGCCGCTGGGGGGCCTCTTCAGCGTCGCTTGGGGGCCTCCTGAGGGCCTCTTGGGGGCTTTTGGGGCCTCTCAGGGGCCTCTAGTGGCCTCCTGGGGGCTTCTTAAGGCCGAGGGCTCGAAGTTTTGTTTTGTTTTCCTCCTTTGGGGCATCGCTTGGGGCCCTCTTGGGCCCCTCTTGGGCCGTCTTGGATGCCTCTGGGGCCGTCTTGGAGCCCTCTTGGGCCATCTTGGGGCCTTCTTGGGAGCTTCTTGGGCCCTCTTGGGGCGATCTTGGGGGCCTCTTGGGCCGTCTTGGGGCGTCGGGAAGCCGAAAAGATGGACACACCAAAATCTGCCCAAAACCTAAGGAAAAGTAATGAATTTTGCCCTTGGGGCCCTCTGGGGAGTGCTCTTGGAGGCCTCTTGGGGCGTCTGGGGGCCATCTTGGGCGTCTTGGAACGATCGTGTGGCATCTCGGAGCACTCTTGAACCATCTTGGAGGGCTCTTGGCGGCCTCGTGGCCCTTCTTGGGACTCTCTGGAGGGCCACGGGGGCGGCGCCCAGGAGGAAAACCATCTCTGACCCGAGTTTGCCGGGGATCGCCCGGGGAACTTTTCGTCCGGGGACCCCCAGGGGCCGCCCCGCGCGCGCGAAGAATAAGTATTATGTAGCAGTTACCGGAGATCTTAGCACGCCTCTGGCCCGTTGGGCCGGCGAATTCCAAAGGCGTACGCCATTTCGTCGACCCCAAGAAAAGGGAACAAGTCTATTGGTGAGACCTTTTGGGGCCTCTGGGGGGCCTCTTGGGGCCTTTTGGAGTTTTCTCTGGCGCCTGCCGGCGGTGTCGGGGCTTGGGGGGAAGGGCTTGACATGCAACTTTTACTTGCCCCTTTGGGGCCCTGTTAGTGCCCTCTGGGACACGTCTTGGGCAGTCTTCAGACCCTCGTGGGCCGCCTTGGCCTCCTGCTTTCCTCTCCCCTGTCCCTCCGTCCATCATCCTTCTCTAACTCTGTCTCTCTCTCTCTCTCTCTCTTCCCCCCCTCCCTTCCTGCCTCCCTCCCTCTCTCTGTCTCTCTCCCCCTCTCTCTCTCTCTCTTTGTCTCCTTCGCTGCTCTTGCCGCACCAGCTCCTGGGCCCAGGGGCGGCAGAGAGTTCAGACGAATAGAAGAGATGTAATAACCCAAGGGGAGAGGAAACAGTAAGCCTCAAGCTCCTCGTCGTCCTTCGCATTTCCTCGGTCTCGCATTTGAAGTTTCCTCCGTTCCCTGTTTCCCACTTCATGCTTCATGCTACCTGCTCCTCCTCTGCTCATGGGTCGGGGCGGGGGCTGACGCAGCTGCGTCTTATCGGCCGAGCTAGAATTCAGCGAGAGCCTCGGGACGGCGAAACTGTTGCGTCGCCGGGTGGGCCGCGAGGGGGGTGCGACAGACAGCGGGCGGTGTAGGATTCCCTGCAACGGCGCCCCAGGTATCCTGGATGCGCCCGCCTGCCGAACGCACGGGGGGGGCGGCGAAGGGATTTGCTTTCCCGCGGACCCTTGCCTACCCCCGTCTTGATCTTGGGCGATCCAACATGCATGTGTTCAAAGTGGTTGTTGTGTGTTGTTCCTCATTTGTTGGGTTCAGCAACTTGGACAACATGCGATATGCGTGGCTTTCATCTGAGGGTAAGCCCACATGCATCGGAACTAACTGGAATGGCATGCGGTTGCATTCTTTAGGCGGCGCAAAAGGCAAACAAAGCCTTAACATTACAATTCCTTCTAATTTTCAAACGATTCGGAGGGACAATGTGATCACTCCCCGATGCAAGCCTTTTCCGAGTATTGTTTGGGTCCCATTCATGTCACATATAGAGGTAACACACATTTCCCCAGCCAGGTCATACACATGATTCTACATTTGGTGTCGCCCGCATGACGGAGGGGGGAGTCGGTGCAATTCACAGAGTCAGGTCGATTCCTTTTACGTGTTTCTTCTCGAATGGGCATGAGGGCGTTTCATCGAGTGCCTCGCGGCACGGTAGCCGCTACGTGTGATTAGTGATTATTGGGCTTACGCCGCACCGCCGACCCCTTGGGGGGCTCCTGGAAGATCTCTCGGGTGCCTCCTTGCAGCACTTTTCAGGCCTTTGGGGGGCCGTTTTGGGGCCTCTTGGAGCCTCTTGGGGCATCTGGTGCGCCTCTTGGAGCCTCTTGGAGCCTCTTGGGGGGTTCTTGGGGGCCTCTTGGGGCCTCCTGGAGGCTTCTTGGGGCCGAGGGCTCAAAATTTCCGTTCGGGTCCCCCGCCTGGACCCCCCCCTGGAGCCGTCTTGGGGGCCTCTTGCGCCGTTTTGGAGCCTTCTTGGGGGCTTCCTGGGCCGTCTTGGGGCGATCTTGGAGGCCTCTTGGGCCGTCTTGGACGTTGTGAAAGCCCAAGAGGCGAATGCACTAAACTCATTCGTTTCTCTACGGAAATGGGACGATGTTTGCTTCTGGGGGCCCTCTTGGCACGCCTCTTGGGGGCCTCTTGGGGCTTGTCGGGGCCTCTTGGGCCGTCTGGGGGCCATCTTGGGCGTCTTGGAACGATCCATCGGCGACTCGGGGCCCTCTTGGACCATCTTGTGGGCCTCTTGGGGCCCGCGTGGCCCGTCGTGAGGCCCGTGACGCGTTCAGCCAGGGCTGGCCGGACCCCCCCCCTACTCCAAACTGACGGGACCGGGCCCTGGGCGGAGGGGTTTGGGGAGGGAGAAGCATTTAACATGCCGATGACCGCAAGGGGTCGGCGGATGACATCCAAGTTGTGATTCATGTTATATAGTAGTTGTTCTTTGTGATGTCACCGCGCAGCAGTGCTGATACGCCTCGCAAGTGTCGAGGTGCAGCGGTATTACGTTGTTGCAGTGTGAATGTACGGGTGTCGCTTGCTTGTGCTACGTATACGCAGCCTTGCCATGCACTTGCGTTGTATACGATGTTTTTTGGTGTTTGGTAAATTCCCCCCTTGTAAGTTGGAGAATGCACATCCAAGCGAAAAAATGTGGCACTGCAGGGGCACAGGGATGACAGCCGAAACGATTTTGAATCAGACCCGGCGTGGCCCGCCGCATCAAGGGACATCCGCCTGTCAACATCACGGAAGAAAGTCTCGTCAGCATTGCACGGTGCATGTTCGCCATCCGATTGGGAACGGAGTCGCAAGGCATAATTGGAACTGCCCACACAAACGGCCTTGTGAAGGATCAAGTTGGAAGAACACCCGGGCATTAAGTGGCGTCCGCCTCCCAATGTTGCCACCGGGCGCGCAAGCCAAATTATGGCATATCAATATCTTGACCCATGGTGCGCGCCTGCGCACGTTGCCAATATTGAAGGCGAAAATCACTGAATGGTTCTCTTTGAGCGTTGCCGTCTGCAAGTCATTCAAGATGATAGTCTTGTTGATTGTGTTATAGCTGTTTCCCGGCTCTGTGTATGATTCCCGGCCATCCTAGTGTATAGTCGTATGTGAATCGGGTCCCGCTGCCATGCCACGCCACGCCTGAGCATTGCGCGCTTGAGCTTTCACGTTTGCGCTAGCGTTGGCATTCATCCTCGCGAATATATGATGTGCAACAGTGTCGTTTTTTTGCCTAGCACGGTTGCGATTTCCCGTATAAGTTTCATGATGTTGGGGCCGTCTTGGGCCATCTTCTATGTTCTGGCCGCTCGCGACCCCCCCGCATTCACGTCAAGGGGAGGGGGCAGAGGGAAGGGTCAAGATACCCCCCACATAGCAAGCCGTCTAGCTCACTCCCACCCGCCCCCCCCCCAACACAGAAACCACATTCGAGCCTGAGCATAATTCAGCGGTCGTCTTTGGATGGGCAGCTATGGGAAGCCAAAGCCGTCTCCATGTGCGCGACGCTGGAGCGAGGTGCGCCACGCGTGCCAGGCGAGAGGCACGCTCCAGCTATCCCTGGGGCCCGAACGTGCCAGGCACGCCTGGTGCGCCAGATGCGCCACGTGCTCCACGTGCGCCGGGTGCGCCGCGTATTCCAGCCGCGCCAGGTGCGCCACGTTCGGGGCACGTGCAGGTTGCGCAAGGTGCGCCTGCGCACGTGACAGCACACATCGGGAAACATGTCGGCCCCAATCCTCGCAGTTGAAAACACATGCCCATCATTGTGTTTGGCGGACCTTCGCACTGCAGGCCATGCGCCACCACCCTGGCCGTCCGTCTCAACAACCAGTTGACAGTGTTCGCGAGGTGGCTTTGCATGATCCACATGCAGCCGCGAGGTGCATTTTTTTTGGGGGGGGGGGTCACGGGTGGTAGCCTTGCTGACATCGCCGCCGACCCTGCCAAATACAATAGAAACATGTTCACGCGTTTCACGAACATGATTCCAGGCACTTTACCCCACGCTGTTGTTTTGTATTGTTTTCTTGACAAGGATGGTGGGGGGGGCGCATCGGGTTGGCCGCGCATGCTCCGAATTTGGAGGCACAGTGCGTTTTGCATTATTTCTTGACAGGGAAGGCGCGGGGGTGAGCATGATTCTTGGTTGGCTGGTGGCCGCCTGGGGGAGAGGGTGTATACTAACAAGGAACAGTGGTAAACCCCTCCCCGAAGGGGAATAGAGAGGGGATCGAAAAGACACCGCATTAGACCACCTACGCCCAGAGGGCTGGTGAGCTTACACGGATCATTTGCATGATCTTGAGCTCTTAATTTTCGCGCGCGCGCCGCACCAACGGAGAGGTGCGCGGCGGTGGTCCCGCAAGCGGTGGCCGCTCCTACGCAGAGGGCCACAGGACAGCCGGCGGGCGCCCCGGCATCCCTTTGGGGTCGCCACTCAGCGGCACCGTAAGGGGTACTCACCAACGGGTGTTTAGGAAGCTTGCCGGAAGTTGCCACTTTTGTGCCTTTTTAAGGCATTGCAGCGTTGCCCACATCGGGGAGGGTTGGCCTCGCCGGGTCACTGGCCAACGCGCCCGTCAGTGGGGTCCCCGTCAGAGGGGCGTTGAGCCACGGAGCAAACGGGTCCTGAGGGAAGCGGGGCGTTTGAGGTTTTGCATCGCTGTTGGCTTCCAGGGGCCCGCCAGGGGCCCCCAGAAGAGGCCCCAAGACGTCAGAGCTGGCATCCGGGGAAGAGCCCCAGGGTCCGGCACCCGTTTCCCTACGGACGCGTTGTTTTCCTGGCAGATTTGGTCGCATCTTCTCAGAGGCGACGGTATGAGGAGGTAGGATCAGGAGGGGAGGCATCCGCCCTCGATCAGCCATTGATCGCCGATTGGGGCCCGATCGCCAAACCTCGAAGAAGAAGAAGAAACAAACACATGAACATGAATCTTTAGCGCTCCGCACGAATTTCTTGGAAAGAGGTTGACGTATCAGATGAAAAAGTTAAATGGGTGTTGGTATGAAATCGCGAAAGGTGGAGGACATATGGTGTACCTGAAATTTGTGGCGGCAGGCACATGGTGCCCACCAGTGGGTTGTGAAGGGCCTATGGTGCCCTTCGATGCCCACCCCGACCCGTCCACAGGGAGTTCGCACTTCCCCCTATGGTGGGAAGATGGGTTGGCCGCCCCCCCCCCTGGCGTCGCACGTACTACGCCAGGGGTGGTGGAAATTTGGCCAGGATCGGTATTGAGTCCCTCCCACCCGTCCCTTCCCGGGGGCACGAAATCCTGTAAAGGTTCTCCCAGGGATGACTCTACCCCCTGGCGGCGCCTCCGCCCTGGCGCGCTCCGCGCGCCAGGGAGGGGGGTCCAGCGCAGATCCGAGAAATCCGCGCGGAGTGCCAAAAGTGTATGTATCTGGCGTTTTTTCTTCTTCTTAAACCCTCCTGGGGCTGTTCGGCTTCACTATCGGGGGCCCATCGCCGATCCATCGGCGATGTACCACGGATTCCAGCTCGATGTATCCCCCCTTGAGCCGATCCCGCCATCGTTCTCCCTCACTTGATGGCGCACGCTTTCTGTGCGCATTGCGAGGGAGGGCAGGAGTGGGAGGAGGAGGAGGAGGAGGAGTAGGAGGAGGAGGAGGAGGAGGAGGAGGAGGACGAGGAGGAGGAGGAGGCGGAGGAGGCGGAGGAGCAGGAGGAGGAGGAGGAGGAGGAGGAGGAGGAGGGCTACACAAGCATCTCATGAGAGCAAACATATGCTTGAGCATCTGGTTTCACTCTGGGAGGAAAGCCGCCCACGACGAACTCGACATGGATCTGCAGGAAAGAAGGTCCCAGGCCGCCAGCAACAACATGTGGCCTGCAGGATAATCACGCTGTGGCTCCCCCCCGTAAGTTCTTTGGGGCCCTCCATCGACACCAGAATTGACCTGCCTCCGCTCCTTAAATGAATACCGACCTTGTGCTCCCCGCTCCCTTTGTTCCACCAGTCTTCCTCCCCTGCCCGCTCCCAAATGTTTGTTCTGCACTTTTTCAGCGGGTTCCGGAGAGAGGTAGACCTACTTTTCTGGATTGAAGAGAGGCTCAGCGAATTCCCTGCCAACATTCATGTTTTGAGCATTGATGTAATCAACGACAGTGTGAATGGAGATCTCACAAGGCCCGAGGCCATCTATAAACGGATGACCTTGCTCAAGGGAGGAGGCTATGTGTGCGCAAGCATGGCTGGATGGCTGGGCCTCCTTGCGAGACTTGGTCGGTTGCTAGGCACAGAGATCCAAGACACAAGATTGTATGAAGACGGCTCCGGATGCAAGCCCCCAAGACCTTTGCGCTCCAAGGTTGAATGATGGGGCTCCAAATATCTCGGCGCTCGCGAACAACGGCAATTGCCGCTAGGCAACATTCTTCTGAGGTGTATTCTGGAATTTGCAGTTCTGTGCTGGCGCTATGGGGTGCCTTTCACTATGGAGCATCCCGCAGAGCCCTGGGCACCCGATGAGGCACCAAGTGCGTGGTCCTTGCCGCTGCTCAGGAAGCTTCAAGCACAGAGCCACCCTCCTAAGAAACACATTCACCAGTGTGCCTCTGGAGCACCAACTAGGAAGCCCACTAGCCTGTCTGGGTGCAGTGTCAGGCCCTTCTAGAAGCCATCTCCAGTCGCGTTCAGTGGCACACCTGCAGGCACCCCAGAGGCCACATCGCACTGGAGGGCTGGGGAAGTGATGGTCATTGGAGCACTGCCAAAGCTAAAATCTACCCCAGGGATCCCTGTAGGACCATGGGTGAGGCCATTGTCCAAGAAGCCTGGAGGCGCTACCCATGGTGTTTTCGGGTCCAGGGGCCGCCACGTGTGCGCAGACGTTTACTAGGTTAACAACCCGCTCTTATCCCAGGGGCTGTCGGGGTAAAGTGTTTACAACGCATTTCGACAGCAGAGGGCCAGCGAAGCTGGAATGGACACGTTCCGACGAGCGCATCATCCAACAACGATTCCTGCTTCGCAACCACGAGGACTGGCTACCAGTAGCGCTACGGCGATGCTGCCAACCAATCGGCCCATACAATGACGCACCTATTGCAGGGATGGGCTGCATGCTGCACAACCGTGAAGGAGTCGCTCGTGGATCGGGATAAGCAACCCGCGTGCTCGACCTGGCCGCCTGGGCCCGCCTTCTCGACTCGCCCGATAGGGTCTTCCGGCCTGATCTGCCCGTCTGTTTCTACCATGTGTTTTCTGCTCCTAGCCCCTCTCCTGCTAATTTCTCTCGTGCTCCATCCTTCTCCCTCCCCCTTCCATCCGTTCTCCCTACCCCTGTTTGAAGGGGCTGCGCTACATGCACGGGCCAGGTAAGGAAGATATACCCCAAAGGGGGTACGATCGAAGACGAAGAGGGCCGGTACTGAGGGTTTGGGATATACGTGTTGAATGGCAGGCGAGCAGACGGGAGCGAACAGTCTTAAAATGATTGTTGCTGCTGTTGTTGATGGTGGTGTTGGTGTTGGTCTTGGTGTTGGTCTTGTCGTTATTGTTGTTAGTGGTGGCGGTGGTGGTGTTCTTGCTGTTGCTGTTGCTGTTGCTGTTGCTGTTGCTGTTGCTGCTGATGTTGCTGTTGCTGTTGCTGCTGCTGCTGTTGTTGTTGCTGTTGTTTTTGTCGTTGTGGTCGTCGTCCTCGCCCGCGACCCCCCCGCGACCCACCTGCGGGGGGCTCCTTGTATAGTTTGTGTAACAACGGCGCCTGCAAGGGGTTCGATGTCTAATGTGTAAAACGATCGGCGCTTGCGGCGGGCAACTTCAGAGCCTCACAGACTGCCGACGACCCCGTCGCCCCCTCACTCTCATCCTCAACTGCGGGGTGGTACGTATTTCGTCCGTTTCTCCGCAAGCCCTGTCGCACGACACGTCGGTTCGGCAGGGGAAGAATGCCAGCCGCGCAGGAGGCGGCAATCAGAGGTCAGAGAGTGCGCTCAAGCTTCTATCGGACCACTGGACAGGCCGACGTGCCACATTGTTTGGCAACTGCGCACCAGACGCGGGTGCCTGAGCACTGCATTCGAAGCCTTATCAAGGGGAGGGGGGGGCGACGGGAGGGGAGGAGGCGGGAGGGGCGGGAGGCGGCGAGGGCAAGAGGTCATCGCAGGTTTCGCATATTCCTTGACGACCAGGGCATTCATGGGGTGAGGACCTGCTGGGAGGCGTGCCTCGAGCCTCGCCCAGCCAGCAACACAGGCGGGGATCCCCGAGCAGCGCGCGCCCGCCCTCTCGGAAGGTGCGCGTTCGCACACCTTCGGCGCCTCGGGGGGCTGCTTCTCCGGGCCCTGCGGGCCGTCGGAGTCAGGCGATCGCAAACATGGATCAAGGGAGCGTGGCTTAGCGACGGGTCCCGTTTCCATCGGAAATCGCGGATTTACACCGCCGAACGAGGCGGCACCGGCCGCACCTCCCCCGATCCGTGGATAATCCATGTTTGCGCGCCCCTGACAGAAGTCGCCATGATGGAGAGGGGTCCTGAGGGAAACGGACAGGCGAGTTGAGAAAAGGGTTGTTGGCCAGGGGGGGGTCTCGTCGCCGCGGCTGGACGCAGCTCGGATAACTGGTGCGTTCGGACTCAGGTGTCGTAGTCCTGGGACGTCAGAAATGTCAGCCGAACCATGAATACTGCGTAGAATTGGTGAAGCAAAGGCTATTTTCAGAATCTCTACACCAAAATTTCTGGCACACGCGAATATCACGCGAAGTAGAACAGTCGAGCGGTACAGAAAGATAGTGGTACAAAAATTCATGAACACTCTTGAATCAAGTTGACTACTATAAGCACCAACGCAAACTTGATGGGTTCCATGCGCGGTATCCCAGGAAATTATGGTCCATTCCATCTTCATGTGTATTTCGATGTTCAAACATACCAGTATTGGAACGAAGTGGCGAAGCGGCACTGAGCACCCAACTCAGTGAGAGGCAAATTGCAGTGTATTGTAAATCTGCGGCCCTCCCAGAGGTTAACTTTTTACGAACGTTCACTTGCGGTCCGCATTCGAAAGAACCACGGCGCTGGGATCTCCGTCGGAGGCGTGGGAGGCCTAGACAACAATGGTCTGTATGCGTTCGCAACCAACGTGCTGATCATTGGTTCTAGTTTTTCTGTCACTCTTCTTCCTCCGTCCTCCTCCTGCCCCGATCCTCCCCCCTTTCATCCGCGAGCGTCCCATTCATAATGTGCTACTTGCCACTGCGCTGCTTGAGCGCCAGGCGTGACTGACCAACTGCCTCAGCTCGCCCTGCTCAGACCAGACCTGGTGGCTTCCACATCCTGGGTAGTTTTTTTTATACACCTATGCCCTCTATCGGCAGCTCTCTTCGGAGGCGTCATATAGGAGGAGCCGATCCCGTGCAGGAGCCCCCCGCTGGCCTTCTGGGAGGGCGCACCCCCTCTCGCCGCAGCCCGTCTTGTGCGAGCCGTCGGTCCTCGATCGTCCTCCCGTCTCCTCATTCCCCTCCTCCTCCTGCTCCTCCCCCTCCTAGATTCAGGGCCTAGATGGCGAAGAGAAGGTCTTTGCCATTGCCAGTGCTGCTGCTGACAGATGTGCCAGACAAGGTTTGAGCGTGCGCCCTGCTCCCATGCCAGATTTCAGCAGTGATTTGAATGTGGCTGGCGAACGAGCGGGTCATTTCATGAAGCTTGCAGCGAGAGTTCCCCCCTGTTTTGACAACGAGGTGCGGTGGGCAAGGCCTCACCGAACCAGCGCCCCGAAGTCGCGGCGACAAGTGTCGTGGCACGTTTGGAAAAAGAGTGAGCTAGGCCTCCAGTGCATGAGCTGTTTCAGGTTTGCTGAAGGCAGCTATGATACCGTCCCGATGGATGGTTGTCGCGGGCTGCCGCCGTTTCTCCGAGGTCTGCTCCGTGACTCCATGGGCCACAAGCTCGTCGCCATGGTCGGATCTAGCTCGTTTCCTGGCGCGCAGCCTGAGTCGTGTCGGCACCCGTCCAGGGAGCAGATCCTCTGTCTTCGCTGCGGGGGTTGGTCCCAAGGGGGGGGTTTGAAGCTAGGCCGTCAGTGTGAGGCTCCGTCTCGCAAAGGTATGGAGATTTTGTCTGAGTTCAGGAAGGGTAATTGCCCGAACCCAAGAGTGCGGGCTGCTCTCGATCGTGCGGTTCCTCTTGCTAGGCTTGGCCTATCCGCCGCCCCTCCTGTCCCAGACGCTCCGACGGTTGTGAGGACCTCACACTCAAATTCCCAGACGGCCCCCTCCTATGAGCAGCGTATGTCAGCCTTATGCGAAAGGATCCGTCTTAAGGAACAGGCCAAAGAGGCAAATTCCACAAGATAAGTTTTGTTCCGTTTTAGATTTAAGCTTTGCTTAAATATTTAGTGCTGTGCGCTCCCCATCGGGTCTTCCGTTCCTCCTCCTCCTCCTCCTCCTCCTCCTCCTCCTCTTCCTCTTCCTCCTCCTCCTCCTCCTCCTCCTCCTCCTCCTCCTCTTCCTCCTCCTCCCGGCAGCGGCGCGGGTCTGCCGCGCGCCGACGCTCTATGGTCGCGGGAGTCAGCAAACGCCTCCGCCGCCCCCAAAAGTCTGGGCGGCAACCCGGGGGATGGCCGACTGTCTGAGACAGCGGGACCCCCAGAGGGGAGGGGTCTGCCGGCCGGGGCATAGATAGCTTCCGCTACACCGGAGCACGGCGGGCAGTTCCACGAACCGGGAGGGCGGCGCGGCGGCGACGGCTGGCGGCCAGCCGTCGCTGCCGCGCCGGCTGCGCTGCCGCCCAGCTCCTCAGCTGGCGCCTCCTGGGCCCCCAGAGTTCCTGCGCCTGCCGCGCGGCCCGCTGGCCCCCCTGCGCGCCGGCCAGCGTCGCCCTGCGCGCCGGCCGGCGTCGCGCCGCCGCACCCAGCCGCAGCTTTCAGGCCACCTCGCCAGCCGGCCGCCGCCCCACCCCGGCGCAGCAGTGCAGCAACCCAGCGCCGCGGCAGCTCAGCGCCGCCACGCGCGGCAGCTCAGCCCCGCGCAGGAGCCGCCCAGCGCCCCGGGCCGCTCCCGCCGCGGGCCCAGCTCAGATTGGCCGCGCGGCGGAGCTGCTGCGCCAGCTCCCGCCGCAGCACGCAGCTGAGCACCCAGTAGGCGCGCGCCAGCGCTTCTCCGGGTGCGCGTCCTCCGGGAGCTCCCCGGACGTGGCTGAGCAGCCAGACCCGCGCCTCTCAGGCGGCCCCCCGTTTCCAAGACGAAAGCGGTCAAGCGCTGGCCGGGGCAGCGCGCGTGCTTGGCGCGCTCGGCCCGGCGCGCCGCCTCGCCACCGCGCGCACGGCGAGCTCGTCGCCGGCCGCTGAGTGGCGGACAGTTACGTCCAACCGCCGTCTGCCGTCGGCATCGTCGTATTCGACGTCCAGGACGGCCTGCTCCAGGGCCGTTGGCCGTCCTGCCCGCGGCGCTATGGCCCTGTCCCAGGTGGGCACCGGCTGCTCGTAGAGCGGCGCGCAGTGGGCCCACCTGCCCGCCAGGCTGCCCGCGGCGCGCGCCATTCCGTTGTGCCGGTTGACGACGCCGCCGCCCGGCTGGCAGATGGCGGCGTGGAAGCCGGCCTCGCCCAGCGGCGCCTGACATGGCGCCCCGCGTCCAGCGGCGCTGTCGGGTTCTAGCAAGTCGTCGCAACCCTCGCAAGCTCGTCGACGGCGCACTCGGGCCGCGGTAGCTGAACGCGGCCCCGGGTCGCTGTCTGCCAGTGAGGGTCCTCCAGCGTGCACGCCAGCTCCGTGGGGTACTTCGGGTAGGCCCCAGCCCCTGGCCTCTGGCCCCCCTGGCGGGTGGCAGCGCCGCCTGGCTGCAGTGGTGCATTCGCTGCTTCGCAACAGCGTGGGTTTTCTTATGCACCATAGCAACCAGGGTCTTCTGCCTGGTCGGGTGGCCCAGCAGAGCCTCCTCCCCCTCCTTCTCCTCCACTTCCTCCTCCTCCTCCTCCTCTTCCTCCCCCTCCTCCTCCTCCTTCTTCCCCTCTTCCTCATCATCCTCATCCTGCGCCGATTTCGGCTAGATTTTGGGCTCCTGTTGGGCCTCGAACGCTTACGTTCCCCGCCGCCCGCCCTCGCCCCTGGGAGCAGCGCCGCCGACGTCGCGATTTTAGACTCGCGCACACATGCAACGCTTTGAGGATAAGACTCTACGCTTCCCAAATGGGGTACGAGTAGAGGGATCGGAGGATCGTGCCGCATCGCCGATGCGATGTTCGCCGCGCCGATGGCGCAGATGTATCGCCGACGTCGTCGATGCATTGCGATCCTCCGCTCCCATCTGGGAGGTTTCTAAGGGTTCATTTTGGCTTCGGGAAGGGATCGGTATTCCTGTATCCTTCCGTGGGCCTCCCCCTCATGTTCCTCGAGAGAGTCGGCGCAGCCGATGCCAAGAGAAGGGCCGCGTTCCTCCTCCGCGGGCTCCCTGCGGCAAGACGTCGGCCGTGGTCATTCTCGTCAACGTCCTCCTCGTGCCTCACCTCCCGCTGGCCTGCCGCGGGCTTGCTCGGCGGAGGTCATTTGGGAAGTGTTGCATGGAGGCGGGGGGATGGGCGGGAGGGGCTCGCCACGGGGGACTGGCGCACACCGGCGCAAAGAGAAGCACGAGATGTGCGAAGTTCTATGGACCACATAGCTTACATGCAGATTCGCCTGTAGAGATAGCCCATGTATACACACGTGCGTATTTACATTTCTATGTGCATATCAAGACGAGGTGTGACCTTTCGCACCGTGCTTGCACTGGAGCGCGGCTGGGTCTGACAGCAATTCCGAGGTGGCGCCGGGAGTTCTGTCTACGTGGGGAACTTGGCCTACAGCGTGACCTGGCAGATGTTGAAGGAACGCGACGCATGCTGCCAGCAAGTCGGGAGAACCAGTCGCATGATCTCCTTGGTTTCCGTTTGTCCATGGACCCGTCAGATTCTCTCTTTCTTGCCCACACCTCGGATCTTGTCTTGGATCTTGAGTTACGCGACGTGGTTCTTCCGAGTTGGCGTGCCTGCATGTATGATGGCGCCATGCGCATGTTTTCGTTCGCGCCCGTTGAGCTGCATTGCCCGAGCTGCGTTGCCCAGGTCGGCTCTTGCACCTGCGGCCCTAGACGCGAGCATGGCATTCGCATGTCAGGCCCTGCCAGCTTCTCAAACTCAGCTGCACGTGCAGTACGCACCCGCCGCGCTGCGCGCAGGGGTGCTTCGCGGGCGTGCCGCAGGGGATGCGAGGAGCAGAGGCCCACGGGCTCGGAGCAGCCAACGGGCGCACGTTGGGCTCGATGCGAGGAGGTGCTATGAATAATCGAAGCAGAACGTCACACAAATTTGCACAATGTTTCCACGCTCCGCGCGGACTCTGTGGGTCTGCACTGGAGTACCCCTGGCGGCGCCCTGGGCGCCGCCTCCAGCGCGTTCCGCGCGCCAAAGAGGGGGGACTCAGACTAGATCCAAGAAATCCGCGCGGACATCCACAAGTTTATGTTTATGCTGTTCTTTCTCCTTGCAATGTTGGGCTCGATGCGAGGAGGGGTATGAATGCAGTGGGTTCGCGCCGCGCTGGCACAAAGGCGACCCCGGAGCGGGCGTTACATGGTTCAACGCCGCCAGTGGCCTGGGAGTGGGCCGTTACCGAACGATCTGCACTGTTGAAGGTCCACGAGTCAGCGGAAGTCAACGCCCACGCCATCCGAACGCGAATTTGCCGCAGTCGCCTCGCAAGAAGACCCGCAGGTAGGTCTGGAGCGCAGCGGCCGTGGCACGGCGGAGCCTCGGATGTCTCCCGGACCTGCGGCGAAGGCTGAGTCGCAGGCAGTCGCAAGGGTCGGGGGTGGACAGAACCCCCACCCTGACACGTCGATTAGTGAATTGTTCGTTTTCGGTTCTCGAGAGGGCGCCGTGGCCGTCATTTTCCAGGCTTGCGCCCGCCCGATTTGGGCCCGAGGTCGTTTTCACAAAACCACGCTTTGCTAAAGAGGGTCTCTGTCCATCCCTGGAATGGTGTCTTGACCAGACCCTCTGCTCGCTCGAAGGCAGAAGCCCCGTGCTTCTGGCAGGCTCGGGCCGTGTCGGCGCGGCGACCCCGCCGCGGGCGGCGAAGGTTGAGCGCCGCCAGCGGCGCCGCATCGACCAGTACGGAACGATCTGGCGATCAAGACCGGCCGGGTCGTTCGAGGCTGAGCGATCCATGCAGTGTCAGGAACCAGTCGGGCCTCGATCGGCGAAGAACTGGGGGTCTGTACATCCCCCCCTGAGCCCGTCCACCTCTCTGACGCTGATCCTGAACCGCCCTGTCCTGCCTCCTCCTCCCCTCTAGGCGGCTCCGCAAAAGGCGGGACGCTGAAGACCGACGCCGCCGGCGACGGCGTCGTCCTTGAGCTCTTCGGGCGCTTCAAGGGGCTGTCGTGGTCACGCCTGGACGCACCTCGAACGGATGGCCAGGACGGACCCTCGCTCTGGAGCGTTCTCGGGCGCCCCTGGCGGCTCCTCGTGGCCACGGCCGCATGCAGCCCGACGAGCTGGCCAGGACTGGACACTCTGGGGAGGGGCCCGTTGACTGGCTCCGAGTGGATGCTGGCCTGGCGCGAGGGGGGCGTCTCCGCTGCACTCCTGCCTTCCGAGAGTCCAGGCATCCCAGATGGGGTCCGAGTAGGTGGGGTCGGGATTTCCTCCACGCTGGCGTCGCCGATGTATCGCCGATGTATCGCCGATATCGCCGATTCATCGCCGATGCATCGCCGATGTATCGCCGATGTATCGGCGATACGGCGCGATCCTCCGACCCCATCCAGGAGGCCTCCAGAGTCTAGAGAGGCCCCGCTTGAGGCCAGCCGCCGATCGGTCGGCGAGGTGTCCCCGATGTCAGGTCGGTGTTTCCCGCCCCTGGGCCCCCCCCCCCCGCAGGCACGAGGAGGGAGGCGCAGCGCCCAGAGCGCCTCGACATCCCCCGCCCCGGGGATGCCTCTGCATCCTAGCCCAGAGGTCCTGAAGGAAAGGGCCTTCCTCCTCCTCCTCCTCCTCCTCCTCCTCCTCCTCCTCCTCCTCCTCCTCCTCCTCCTAGCCCCCCCGGCCCGAGGCTGGCGATTCAGGGGCGGCAGCGCTGAAGGATGCGCATTCATACCTCGCGCCCGCATGGCGTGTCCTCCCCACGGTGAGGCGGCGGCCCGCGGCGATGCGGCTGCTGCGCTGGCGATGGGCTCTCTGGGCGCTCTGGGCGGCGCTCGAGCTTGATGCGATGAAGTATATCCATTGGAATGCTCAGAACGCCAGCGCCGAGGAGCGACTTTGTGATATATCTGCTGAGTTTCGCTACGTTGATGTGGTATGTTTGACAGGCACGGGCGAGCGGCGCGGCGAAGTGGACACTATACGCTCGACCTTGCCGTACCACACTGCTCTGAGATCGGGCTGGAGTCCCAGCCCCCATACTAACAAGAGCTGCGGGTGCACCATCCTACTGAGGCGTCGGACTTTTCGGACGCAGCACTTGGTGGACACTCCCTCCGTGCCGCCGAAGCTGCGCGGGCGTGTATCCTTGACGAGGCTCAGAAGCGGCAGGTTCGACATCCTAGTGCCCATGGCCTACTTCCCTCCGCGGCCGACGAGTCGGAGGCAGGCGACAGAGACCACGACGGAGAATAAGCAACACCAGGCGTACAGGGCTACGGTCGACGCCATGGTGGATTGGGTAGAGAAAGTATTGACATGGGCGCGCGGGCGCTCGGCCCTTTTTGTCGGATTTGACCTCAACGACGGGCTGGGGCTACGACATCAGGGCCATCAAGCGTATCAGACGGTCACCTCGGATGCGCTGGGCCCGTACGGACATCAGGTTCAGCACTACGCCTCAGAGAAGATGCTGGAACTGATGGAGCGTTTCGCGCTCCGCATCGTCACCAGCGACTTCGAGGTGGGCCCCACGCACCACGGGGCGAAGTCGGCTTCCTTCATCGACCACGTTGCCGTCTTCGCGTGGCAGACGCCTTCGGTGACGACGGTGATGCCGTTGAAGAGTGCCAATAGACGGCTCAAGCTCATACCGCGACCTGGGCTACAGGACCGCGTCCCCATTCTGATGAAGGTCATCTATACGCTGCAGGCCCCTCAGGCACGGCCAAGGAAGACCTGGGGCTTCCATCGCTTGGGGCAGGCACTGCAGCACGGCACTGGCGTGGCGGCCTTCGTGCGCGACCTGGAGGAGGCCTTCAGCAACCACCCCGACTACTTCCACGAGTTGTACGATGCTAAGGCTCCTGACGAAGCCTGGGAGCGCTGGATGACGCAGGCGTCGACCGTTGCTGAGCGTCACTTCGCTGGACGCGCTCCCGCCCCCCCTCGAGTGCAAGCACTTCGGGGCGAGCGCCTTCGTCCACTGGCTGAACGACGCGACCTTCGAGAGCATGGCGACCCCAGCACCGTGGAGATGGAGCTGGCAAGAGCCCCCCGCCGACTACGGCATCATCGCAAGGCTTGGCTCGAGACCGAGGTGCAGATGATCGTTGACGATATGTATGAGGCCTGGCAAAAGATGCATTTCGCAGAGTTGTGGCGACTGGGACATCAGCTTGCGGCCCAGCGCAAGGGACCGAGGCGACGGCGCTACAACGTCGGAGCCTGATTCCTCCCTTGGCGCGCTGAGATCGTGCAGCACTTCCAGCAGGGCGGTGCCAGTGGCGGGCTCGACGCGGTCCCGATCAACTTTGAAGAGTACCGTCAGACCTACCTGGAGGCGCTGCCGAGGGCACCGATGTTCGCGCACGACCACCCCGATATCGCACGGGAGGACTTCGAGCAGCTGGTAGAGGTGATCTCGAGGTCTCCCCGTCGCCGAGCTGCTCCGCCTCACAGCGTGCCGACCGAAGTTCTACGGCTTGCCTTGGGACCGCGGCGCCGATATGATGGCCGACGAATGCGGCGGCCTCGGCGCCCTGGGGATGAAGACGAGGATGAGTCGCCTCGAGCTGCGCCTCAGCCCCGACAACGGCTCGCAGGCGATCGGCGTGGGCTCGGGCACGATGCTGATGAGATTGATGCGCCCATCACCGAGCGAGCGTTCAAGGCTATCCTGGCCCACATCAGACGCGCGCAGCGCGTCCCCTTGATCTGGCATCACTCTTTCACCGCGGGCCTCGACAAGCACAACGGGAAGACTGGCTTTCATGCGAAGCGCTTCATTCGCGGCCTGTGCCGAGTCGGCACCTCATGGTTCAAGGCGCAACTCCAGCGCGCTGCGCGCGATGCCCCCCCCCCCCCCCCCCCCCGCCCAGAGAACACGGGCGCCAGCGAGGACGTAACCGTGAGGGCGCACTCCTCTGCCAGGAGGGGCTGATCGGGCGACTTCGTCGTCTGGGCATCTCCACCCTCACCACCAAGGAGGACATGAGCAGCGCCTTCGGGCCCTCCACCCTTTCCGCCCTGCGCCAGACGGTCACGGCGGCCTTGCGCCCAGAGGGGCAGGGGTATTTCCACCGGCGCCACGAGCTCAGCACCTTCTGCGTGGGAGGGGCCGACGGCGACCAGGACATGCGCAACCGCTGCGGAGCCTTCATTGGCGACGCCCCCGCGGCGCTCTTCTTCGCCAGGACCTTCCGTGCACCTATTACTGACTTGCTCCAGCGACTTCGCGGCGCGGCCTGGGCTACGCGCGAGATGCCTGACCAGCCGACCTCCTACCGCGAGTGGAAGAGTCAACCATTTCTACCTCCGGCGCCTCGAGCCGACATCGACGCCGCGATTTGGCCAGCGAGATGACCTGTACAGCGCGGTGCCCGCTCCTGGAGGTTGCCGCCCCGCTGGGGACGCGGATCTACGCGGACGACACCAACCGCACTAGTGTTGTCACCTCTGCCAGGGATGCGGGCTTTGTCCCCGGGCACTCGCACCACGAGCTTCGACGCGCGCTGGGGCCCTACGGCTACGCGCACAACCCGTCCAAGAGCTCGGTAGCGCCTTGCTTTGTGGGCTGTGGCGCCCAGCACGAGACGAGGAAGCTCTTCAGCGGTGCCGAGAACATCGCGGGGGTCGTGCAGTACGACAACATCACGCTGGGCATCCAGACCTCTATCACGGGGAGCGCGCAGGCTGAGCTTCGGCGACGCCTGCAAGCTGCCCGCAGGGGGTATTACAGCATGGGCCGCTTCTGGGCGCGCAACCGCATCTGGCGCCTGACCAGGATCGTGTTCGGGTCGGTCGTGCAGGAGGCCGCGTTGAGTGGGCTCAACGTTCTGGTCTTGTTCGTGTCGCAGCAGATGCAGGTCGACAAGGTGCTCTCCAGTCTTGGACGTCGCCTTCTGAAGGGGGCCGCCTGCCAGAAGATCCCGCTCCTCGACGACGCGGGCGTTCAGAAGGTCGACGACAACGGCAAGCTGCTCGTCAGCTACACGGCGATGTCCGACGCTGCGGTGCTGAAGCGGCTCGGGATGGCCCCCACGGCTACGGAACTACGAGTTCGCCGACTCCGTCAATGCCAGCGCTGGCTTCGGGCTCCTGATCGACACCCGCAGGAGCTCGCGGTGATGTTCGGCGAGCTGCCGCTGGAGCCGACGCCGACGCTCGACGATGATGGCTCGGTGGCCGCGGACGCTAACCCGTGCGCGCTGCGGTTCGTCGAAGACGTGGAGACGTTGCTGACGGCCGTGGGCGACGACGAGCTGCGCGAGGACCTGCAGACGGCGAAGGGCTCGCTCAATGTCGTTGCGCTGTTCTTCAACGACGACCTGCGGGAGCGCTACCTCGCGCACGACCCTGGGATGCTGAGGGCGCAGGCGCGCGCGGTGGCGATCCCGCCGCCTGGCTGGCAGCCACCGTTGGCGACGGGCGACGGGGGAGGCCCCCCCGCCGCCGCCAGCCATCTGGCGCTGCGAGCTGCTCGGCGCCGAGGGCGCCCTGTGCGGGCGCGAGCGCTGCTTGCCCGTTCCAGAAAAACTCTGGCCACGGATGTCGGTCCATCATTCATTCCCTCATCATTACCAGCCAATGCGTATACTGTTCTAGCACCTTCAGGACAAGACGGATTGCGCAAGAGCACGCCGTGACCGCGTGCCTGACTCGTCGATGTCCTGTCCAGCGGCCCCCCTTCTACCACGAGGTTGTCATGCCCCCATCTCTGATGTGTCTCTTGGCTTCGATAACACGGTTTGCGTTGCATCCTGGCTCGCAGTCTCTGAAGCTAGCATGTCCGATTGGGGAGCCCTTCGAGACCCTAGCAGATCTGCAGGCACATCTGCTCGAGCAGCATGCGAACGCCCCGAGCGCTCCTTGGGACGTGCGGTGGACCCCTGTGGGCGGCGGCGACGCTCGCGCCCTTCCGCCTCAGCTCGCAGGCGCTGGGGCAGGCCAAGGGCCGATCTCGATCCCACAGCCGCCGAGCCGCGCCTGGGCGAGATGGCCGAGATGGCTCCGCGACACGTGCGCCGTCGCGGAGGCGGAGGGCGCAGCAGCGAGCGCGGCGCCGCGGCCGCGCGGCCAGCCGCCGACGCAGCGCTCGCGCCCGTGGATGCCGCAGCGCGGGGTGGTCGCGCCCGCGGCGATCGCCGCGCGGCGCAAGCCGAGATCGGCCAGACCTACGGGCTCCCGAAGGACACGCTGGACAAGCTACCGACCATGGAGATGCAGCTGGCGCTCAAGATCACCCCAGTGATTGCGAAGGCGGTCCTGGGCAACAGCTTCAACATCCGCCAGCTCATGTCGACGAACTACCAGACGCTGCTCATGGGCGACGACGCCGAGCTGGTGAAGGCGTCCTTCACAGCGGGCAAGGCCCACGCGCTGGAGGCGCAGAAGCTACGCGACCTGCACCACGCCGACCCCACGCAGCACAATACTCCCGAGGCGATCATGGGCCCCGCATGTGTCCAGGTGTTTCTCGAGGCCGCTCGCGCGCTGAAAGGCGTGGGCGACAAGGTGGGCATGCGCAACAAGGAGGCCTGGGAGACGATCTACACGCGGATCGACCCGATGACTATCCCCGAGCTGACGTTCCTGGTGCGCGGCTTCCGCGTTTCGCAGTGCTACAAGGAGGGCAAGGCCAAGATGGCGATGTGCATCAGCGACCCCAACGTGGAGCAGTGCTTCCTGAAGTGTGCCGAGCAGCTGGGAGCGGAGTACAAGCCTGGAGTGGGTCCTCGTGGGCACCAGGAGCGTGTGCTGCAGATGGCGCTCGACCAGTTCGCAGACATCTGACAGGGCTTCCTGGAGACACGGCTGAGGACGTGGCAGGTCCTAGAGGACGGGAAGCTGGTGCTGGTGCTCCGCGTCTGCTGAGCTCGCGGGAGGCCGCGGCGGCCACAGTGCGTAGCAGTGTGACCGCGGGGAGCGCGGCTGAGCTCAAGGCGGAGACCGCCAGACCTCGGTGCGGTCCGTCGAGGACTGCAGTGCAGGATCTCTCCCCTTCCCCCGTCCTGACCCTTCCCGCCCGTTCGTCTACTGCCCCTCCCCGTCCTCAGCCAGTTAGTAGTAGTAGTGTACAGGTTCAGGTGATGTCGAAACGTAGCACTAGAACAGCAGACGCAGAGCAATTCGCAAAACTCAGTCTAACTGAACGTTTGAAAATCCTCGAGTCTCACCGTAAATGGTAGAGCGAAGGCAATTCGGGGCTCCCAGGGAGGGCACGCCGTGTTTTCCTATGCCTGTGCGCGCACTGCAGGTCGTACATATCGATGCGTTCTGATGCGTAGTTGTGGTTGAGTGATCTTCGACCCGAGGCCCGATGCAGCGACCGACCGACCTCCTCCTCCTCCTCCTCCTCCTCCTCCTCCTCCTCCTTCCCCTCCTCCTCCTCCTCCTCCTCCTCCTCCTCCTCCTCCTCCTCCTCCTCCTCCTCCTCCTCCTCCCCTCTTCCTCCTCCTTCCCCCCCTCCCTCCTGCACCCTCTGCATCCTGGCCCAGGGGGTCCGGGATTCTGCCTGCCGTTGCTCGAAGGCGCCGTCGCCGCCCACGCCGTTGTCGACGGCCCGCCCTCTCAGCGCGCCGGTGCCCGCCTGCCGAGTGCGGAGCGTCGCACCCGCGAGGACCACATGATGGCGACAGGCCCCCGCGGCGTGCTGCGCCACGCCTTGCCGGGGGGGGAGGTCGGAAGCTTAGAGGTTCGCAGCATCACCAGTGCAGTGGGGGCGCGCATCAAGAAGCCATCTGCTTTTCGCCAGGGTAGCCTGGCTTTCTTCGCTCCTCGCTCTGCGCGGTGACTTCCCGCAGCCGTTGAAGGAACTGCTGCGCTCGGGGTGCTCCAGGTTTCCCCTCAGGTGCACCTCGCGCGCGAGTTCTCAGGGTTGGGTTTCTTGCGAGGGTTTCTTGCGGCCGCGCCCGCACTGTATCAGCGAGGTGCCTCCACCGCGGGAAAGTAATCCCGATCTCAGCGACTGTGATCGTATTCGGGCTTCCTGGGGGACCAGAGCGTCCTTGACGCTTCGCGTATCTTCCCCAGCCGTTTCCCCGGCGATCAATTTGCAGTTGCCTGCGCGCGTGCTAGGCATTTAGTTTTGCCCGTAGCCCGAGCCGACCTTTGACGCCGCCGGCGTCTTCGCCTGCGGTTGCGAAGCAAACATTCCCCCAGCCCATCCAGACACGATCGCCAGGTGAGTTGCTTTGATGAGTGCAGCGTAGAAACATACAGTGCGACAGCCGCCTTGGGTGCCTTTCGGGGGGGCGGGGAAACGGAAACATATGTTGTATGATTCGTCAAAAGGCAGGTTGAACAGGTCAAGCTGGCGCCGTTTTGGTAATGCGGGGTCTTCTTGGGGCCCTCATACATGTTGATTTGCCACGGTTGTGTCATCGGGGAGGGGGGTTCCTTCACCATGCTGCCAATGCTTACCCGAACGGGTTTAGAAACACAGCATCGCATATTGCCCCGAATGGGAGAGGAGGAGGAGGAGGAAGAGGAGAAGGAGGACGACGAGGAGGAGGAGGAGGAGGAGGAGGAGGAGCAGGAGGAGGAGGAACAGCAGGAGGAGGCGATCAAAGAAGGGGACGGGTTATTGAGGCCCCCCCCTCGGAGGCTCCATGATGGCCTCCTTTGGTTCTCTTGGTCCGCTCTTGGGACCCTCTTGGGCGCTCTTGGGGCCGCTTTGGGGCCGTCTTTGGTTCATTTCGGGGCTGTCTTTGTCAATCTTGGGGCCATATTGAGGCCCGAAAGGCCCATCGCAAGCGAAACAGCGAGGAGCCACAGACCATTGCTTTTCCTACGGTGTTTGAAGGATGTTGGCCTCCTGGAGTGGCACTGAGTAGGAACCGTCTTGGGCCGTCTTGGAGGCATGTCGGGGCTACCTTGAGCGATGTTGAGGTATCTTGAGCCATCTTGGAGGCTGTCTTGCGCTGCCGAGGGCCCTCTTCCAGCAATCTCGGGCCATCTTGGGCCATCCCAGGCCCAGGGGAGGGGGTAGGGGGAGGGTCAAGCAACCCACCCGCCTGCAAGCCGTCTTGCTCACTCCCACCCGCCCTCCCAACACAGAAGTAGCACCCGGCTGTCACCATATCGCGTAAAAACGCCGCAGAAACCACGAGTTCCCAATGCACCAGACACCTTGGAGGCCCAAGCGTGCCAGGCGCGCCAGGTGCGACACGTGCTCCACGTGCGCCCAGTGTTCCACGTGCTCCAGCCGCGCCAGGCGCGCCAGCCACTGGGAACCAATAAGGGCTCCACCTGCGTGCGCCGCAGCTGTTGCTATGTCAGCAAATGCGCACGCCCCAGCGTATGCTTGTGGCTGCTGGCCACAGCGCGAAAGGCGTTCTTGGGGCCGGTTTGGAAGCCTCTTGGGCCCGGTTGGGAGCGGAGCTTTCCTTGTCAAGGTTGGAACCATTTGGAGGCTTTGAAAGCCAATCGGAAGCGAAAAGGCGTGAAGGCAGCATCCTTTGATTTGTCAAAGCAGTCGGTCGACCACCTGCGCCCAGAAGGCAAGTGGGATTTGCTGGCACCCCGGCCGTCCCTGTAGAATACCAATATACAGTGGTCGCGAGGCGGCCGCGCATGCTCTAAACGTGAAGGCAGAGTGTGTGTGTTGTTTGTTGTTTGACAGGGATGTTGGGAGGTGTGATCATGGGGTCGATATTGTTCAGGGTTGGCTGCCAGCCGGATGGGAGAGGGTGTGTGTAATCATAGGGAACAATGATAGCCCCCTCCCCCGAGCAGGGGAAGGAGGGGTTGCGGCAGGGAACTCCGTTAGACCACTCAGCCAAGGAGGACTGGTGGGATTCAAACCAGCACCACGGCCGAGGATCTTTGCCCCCCGGTGGAGGTAGCCTTCTCTGCTGGTCTCCGCGCCCACCTTCCAAGCCTCCCAGAGAGCGGGCTCGTGAGCGCGGGCCGGGCGGGGGAGGAGGGGGCTGGCGCTGCGCGCCTGCGGGCCGGCCTTGGCCCCGGGCGGGTCGAGGAGAGGCAGGCGCGGAGCGCTCGGATCTGCGCTGGAGTCCCCCCAAGGCGGCGCCTCCAGCGCCGCCCTTTGGCGCGCTGGGCGCGCCAGGGAGGGGGGGGGGTCAGCGCAGATCCAAGAAAGCCTCCTGGAGCTGCAAGAGCTCAAGATGATGCCGATGCTCGCCCCTCCCTTGTCCCCGTCCTCGTTGCTGCCCCTCTCTCCCCTTCCTCGTCCCTCCCCTCTCCCCCTCCACCCCTCCCCCCTCGCGCCAGCTGCCTCGCCCGCGGCCGCCAGCGATGGCGGCCAGGCGAGGTGGTCTACTGCGACATCATGGCCGCCCCTGGCACCACGATGGGCAGCGCCCCCTCCCCCGCGGAAGCGCGCGTGCGCGCGCATTTTTTTTGTTTGGTTTGGTTTGGCTGTTCAGGGAGGGGCGCGTGGAGACCAGCACAGCTGGCCTGGGGGGAGCGCCCACTGCCGCCACGGCCGGATCCAGCGCGGGAAGAGCTGCCGCTTCTTGGGGGGCCCCCGGGAGGGGTCCAGGGGGCCGCGCTCGAGCTGCCGTCGTCTCGGTTCGCCCTCCCCGTTCGGTGTTTCCGTGGTCGCCCCCGGAGGGTGAAGGATGATCGCGCTTCGCGCGCCGTGGCGTGGGCGGGGAAGCTGTCCTTCTCCAAGGGGGGGGGGGGCTTGGCATCGCTCGGACGTGTGCACGTTTCTCTCGGCGAGAGCCATCGAGGAGCATCCTTGACCATGGAGCCCAAAAAGGACACGCACGAAGCCGCAAAACGCACGGGCAGTGGACGTCCGAGCGACGGCAAGGGGGGGCAGCGCGAGGCCGCGAAGAGGTGGCTGCGGCTCGCGCGGCGCGAAGCGCGATCTCGCGCTGCCAGGCTCTCGCGCTTACCCCCCCCCCGTGCTTGTCCCCCGCCCTGACGGCTGCGGCTTCTCGGTATTGGCCAGCGTGGGCCCCCCGGACCGTGATTTGTCTTGCAGCGCAGGCGGTGCCATCAATGTGGTGCAATTTGGGCTTGGCCCTCGCTCGGACGTGTGCATTTTTTCCTTCGGCGAGGACCATCGAGGAGCATCCTTGACCATTTGGCGAAACACACACGCATTAAACCAAAAAAACACAGGGAATGGACGTCCGAGCGATGGCCAGTGGGTGGGTCAGTCAATGTTGTGAAATGTATGTGGTAAAGAGCGATGCCATGCAGAGCGGCGCAAAGCGATGCACCTGCACTGCACCGCAGTGCAAAGCGATGCAACACACAATAAAGCAGTACAGAGCAGTTCAGAGCAGTGCAAAGCAATACAAACGAAAGGCAAGCAACGCAAAGCAACTCAATGCAAAGCCATGCGCGGCGACGGCGCCGGCGACGGGCGGCCACATGCCGTCCGGAGCGCCACGCAGGCCCTCGCACCCCAGGAGACAAGTGAGAACCCCCGGGTGCAAGCTCTGTTCGGGGAGTCCGAACACTACCCTCCCCGCTATGCCATGCCCTGCGCTGCAAGGCTATGGCATGCAAACGCTTGACCAGGCAAGGCTATGCTATGCATCGCGTACCCGTTGGGGCTCGCTATCCTCTTCGACGTCCGACTGTGCGAATAGAGAGAGGCATTATACCGAATGGTAAGGGACGGGAGAGACGGGTAGGACGTGAGAGATGACGCGAGCACACCTTGCTTGATATGAATACTACTCTCCTCTCTCCGCCGAAGATTGCCGAGGAGTAGCACGCCCCCTCCGAGTATGGTTTCCCCCCAGGATTTCACCACTTGGTCGTTCCGATCGTTGTTGTTCAATCGAAACGCCTTCGGGGTCTTAGAACGGTGTTGCCGCTGCAGCGTTGGCCTCATTTGAGGATCTGCGCTTTGCTCCCGTCATTCAGAGTGGTGCTCTCGCCACAGTGGGCCACTTTTCTGGATCCGAGCCCTCATCGTTGTCGCCCCCCCCCCTCTTTTCCCTTCCACGGCGTTCCCCTGGTCATCTTGCGCTTCCCGCTCCTTCCACTCCAGTTCCCATTGCTGCTGTTCGTTCTCGTCTTTATCCTCCTCCTTCCTCATCCTCCTCATGTTCCTCTTGGTCATCCTCCTGTTAATCAGTCATCTCCTCTTCCTCCTCCCCCTCCTCATGTTTACGCAGCTCACTTCTCCGATTGCGCATAACATGATATGGGGATATTTTGGGGGAGTTCCAGGTCCGCTATGGCACGCGCCCGCGGATACTAAAGGAAACATGAGCGCACTGGGTAGGGACGGGTGGGAGGGGTCGGATGTCAGACAGCAGGGCGCGAGCTAAACGGTGGTTTGGGTGATCTCGTTGGCCGTTTTCATGTTGATTTCGTGTTGCAGCAGAGGCGGAACGACGACAGAACGAGGGACATCGAACACGAACCCAAAGGTACACGTACAACGGAATTCATTGTTTAGGCCGTGTTTTGCCAGATTTGGCGCGAGCGCACTGCACCTACTTTGCCCGCCCCACCCTCTCAACTTTCCATCTCCCCACCTGCCGCCCAAGCTTGAGGCGAGGCGGGGCGGACGGTTGGGAGGAAAGGGGAAGGGGAAGGGGCAGAGGGAAACATTGAGGGAGGTAGGGGTCCAGGAGCAGAAGGAAGAAGGGAGGAGGGAGGGAAGGGCTCCAGGAGGAATTCAGAAGGATGAGGGGAGGAAGGACAGGAATGGGAAGGGATCCAGAAGGGGGAGAAGGGAGAAGGGAGGATCCAGGAGGACTTGGTTCGCCCAAAAACGCCCTGGGCGTTTTTGTTAGCGTTTTCTACTTTGGGCTTTTGACAGGTTGAACACGCTGAACAAACACGTCAAGTTTGTTCAGCGCTTTTAGGGTCGTTGGTTTGGCGTTTGTTTTGCGTTTTCAGGCCGAAAGCGCAAAAGACATGTTCGGAAGCGCTAAACCGAATCATCATGTTGAAACGCTTTTTGTTGGTTGAGACCTGGAAACGCTAAACGAATAATTTCCAAGAGGCCGAGCTGAAAACGCTAGAAACACGCCCTGGGCAGATTTAAGGCGAACCAAGCAGGAGGAGATGGGAGTGAGGGAGAGGAAGAGCGGAGAAGGGCTGGCAGTAGGCGCCAGGACTGGGCCGCGGGGAGGGGGTCGGATGCCAGCTGTGGCGCCAGCGCGCTTGCCTTTGCCGTCCCCCATCAACCCTCGCTTCCCCCATGCCGTGCCCTCCCCCCCCCGCTCAGGGAGCAGGGGCAGCAGCAGGATCAGCAGGGTGGCAGGAGGGGGGGAGGAAGAGAAAGATTGGAGGATGGGAGAGCAGGAGGGGCGGGAGGCCGACGACGACGTAGGCCTCCCAGAAGCCCCCCCCGCAGGTGTCACCCCAGAAACCTTCGCCGAGGAACGATCTGCGCACTGCCCTCTCAGGAGGACGCCTTCCGAGCCGCTCCCGGCCGTGGCGACGAGTGGGTGGGTGGGTGTGAGAGAGACAGAAACCGAGGAAGGGGAAGGGGCGGCCCTGTTCCCGTCTTGTGCGTCCTCCAGGAGGGCCCGTAGAAGGCAGCCGTGCACCACATGGGGCTCAGGATGGCCCTGGCCAGGGATGGTGGCAGTGCTCAGCTGGCACCAGAGTCAGCAACAACCCGACAGGGTCCATTTCGATTCGATCGATCCGGTTCGACGTCGGTTTGGGCCGGCACGATCTGTTTCGATTCCAAGACTCCCCGACGATCCGATGCGGCCCGATGCTTGCATGACGCCGATGTGCATCCCAGCGCAGCCGATCCGGTTCGATTCCGACTCCGTGCCGATGTAGCCCGGTCCGACGAACCGTTCGATTTGAGACGAGGTCGGGATTACAGTCAACCCGCATAGTAAGGACGGGCAATTTTCCCAAGGGTGCCCTTGCATCCTTGTCTCCTCAGTGCATCCTTGGCCACTTTCGTTGGTCGCGCCCCGCTCGAAAACTTCGAAATGGGCTTCCAAGGACCTTGCATCTTTATCGCGCATCCTTCCTATACGGGTTGACTGTATAGGCCGATTGATCCCGCCCCAGCTTTGGAGGGGCGTCCTGCTGGCTCTGTTGCTCGGGCCTCGGCGCCGGGCATGCCACGTGCCCCGGGCACCTCCGGAGGAGCCCCTCGGCGCAGGGGCCCCTGCTCTCGGCCCACGCTCTCGTGTCCTCAACACTTGTCGGCTTTCGGTCGGGGCGCGCTTGCCTCAGGTTTACCGGAGGTTTTCCATGGGACATCGAGGTTTCACTTGTGGGACAAAAGGGGCCTCGTTCCTGATTCAGGGACCCTGAGGCCAACGCCCCGACTGTACCGCACCCTCCCCGCCCCGGTCAGATTCCACCACCCGGGGCCATGTGTGGCACACGAGCACCACGCCCCAGGGAGGACACCTTGTAGGCCAGACCCACGACCAGGACCCTCGCCCACCCGCCAGGGCCTTGGGGGTGTGTAGTGTGACTTCTGCTGGGGGGGGGGGGCGGCTCGTGGCCATGCTTCGCAGCATCGCCGCCCCGAGGCTCCCGACGCGCGCGCGCGCTCGCGAGGGTCAGCCGGGTGGGGCCTCGTGCAGTACGCCACGCCCAGCGGGGCCCGCCGGGCGACCGCCCGCCGCCGCCGCCGCTGCGGTCGCCGCCGCCGCCGCGGTCGCCGTCGTTGTCGCGCGGCACACGGCGGCCGCGGCACGGGGCCGCGTTCGCCGTCGCCTCCGTGGTCGTCGTCGTCGTCGTCGTCGTCGTCGTCGTCGTCGTGGTGGTCGCGCGCGTGGCGCATGATGGCGGCGGCGCGGCGGCGGCGACTGCGCCTCGGCCGTGTGCAAGGTTTCGGCATGCTCGCCGACTCGGTTTTCGCAGCCTCCAAGACCGGCCCCCGCGATGATGACCAAAAGTGCTTTGAAGAGGGCCCCATGACAGGCTCAAGGCGGCCCAGCTGAGAGGGCTCTCTGATGGGTTCCAGACAGCCCAAGAGGGCAGCCCCAAAAGACCCCCAAGACGGCTCAGATGGACCCAAGACGGCCAAAGAGAGCCCCAAGACGGCCCAACAGGATTCCAAGATGGCTCCGAAGTTGCCCAAAGAAGCTTCAACATAGGAGCACACTGGCAACTCTGGATTATGTTGGGGGTCCTTTTGGAGCCCTCTTTGGGCGTCTCGGGCGCCTCTTGGGCCGTATGGGTTCAATTGGTAGCGTCTTGAGCGATCGTGCGCCGTGTCGGAGCCCTCTTGGACCATCCTGGAGGCCTCTCGAGGCTCACTTGGCCCGTCTTGGGATCCTTGTCAGGCTCCGAAGCAGAAAGTCACCCGACAGTGCGTGGGGCACCGTGCCACGCCCCGAGAGATTTGAGAATGTGGGATCCTGGCCCATTCAGAGTCGTTCAGTCAGGACTGAGGACGGAGGTCTCAAGGGACCTAAGGGCCCTCTGCTTCGCGCTTCGCCGGACGGTGGCGGAGATGTCTCTGCCACTACTCTGCTTACTTGATCCACCCTCCCTACTCGCTGTGCTCTCTGTCTCTGCTCTCTACTCTCTCTGCCCGATTCTTTTCTAGTATTGCTGACATGTCCTCTCTGCTCTCAACTCCGCTCTCCAGTGCTGTGAACCCGGGAGCCTGGCCGCAAATTGAAATTGGCCCAGAACCCAGAACCGGGAACTCCAGAATTTCGCCGCTCACCGAAATCGGCCCGGCACTTTCGTTGGAACCAAGAGCCCGGGAATTTGGCCGCCTACCGACATCGGCACAGTATTTTCGCTTACTTTCAGAGCGTTGGTTGAGGAATGCATGTATATTCGTGTATACAAGTGTCTGACGATATCGTTTTTTCTTCTGACGTTTCCATTCCATGTCATTGTGCTTTGCGCATGCCCTACGCTTGGTTATGGTTGCATTCATTCCTATCGGTCAAAAGCGCCAGTGGCACACCTGCTTAGATTGATGTTTCGTCCCTCGATTCACTATCGAATTCATCTCGGCATCTGAGAAACTGTTCACCGACTCGCCGTGCAGGTGGTCTGGAGCTGGAGCTGGAGCTGGAGCTGGAGCTGGAGCTGGTAGCTAAAGCTGGAGCTGTAGCTGGCGCCTGCCAGAAGCAGTAGAAAATGCGGCAGGCGGCGGATGACGGAGAAGAGGAGATTGTGAGTAGGAGTAGGAGGAGGAAGAGTAACAAGGGAGGACAGAGAAGGAGAAGGACAAAAAGAGGAGGATGGGAATGCGGAGGAGCTTGGAGGATCGGTCGCGGTTGTTGACCAAGGACAGCGGTACGGCCATCAAGCCAACGGACACATTGAGCAGTATCGGGGAAACACATTCACATATACAAGTATATACACACACGCCTACATGTTCATACCTTTTCCATAGACACGGTTACACATCGACGTACACACATATATATATATATACATACACAAACCTATGCACGCAAGATTTGTATGGACGTTTACACAAACATGCACAGCGCCATTGACAGTCACATTCGCGCTGACCATTACCTACATTACAGGCACGTGTGTGTATACATACATATATATATATATACGTATTGGCATCGGCATCGGCGTAGGCATATATGCATGAACATACATGCACAAACCCATCCATAACAACACACGTGCATATGATATGAGCAAATACGCCCGGCCCCCTCCATGGGCGTCCTCCACCTCGCTCACATCTGATGTGCACTCCCGGTGCCGCGCTTCCTGGCCTCCCGGGGAACCCCCACAATGCCCAAAGACAGTCCAAGACGACCCCAACAGGCCCCACAACGTAAAATACCTGCCCAAGACGCCCCCAAGCAATCCAGGATAGCTTTCGGGTGGCTCTCCAGCGAGACCTTCAAGATACCTCAAGAGACCTTCAAGAGACCTCAAGAGAGCACCGGGAGGCCTTCCGAGAGCGCCCGGAGAGCCCAAAATCGTTGAGTTTCTTGGTTGTTGGCAGGATTTCTGGCCTTCTCGCCATCTCATGCTTCCAACCCTCCAAGACGGCCAGAGGCCCCCAATACCGTTCAAAAGGCCACCAAGACGGCCCCAAGACGGGCCAAGACGGATCCAGGACTGCCGTGGAGGCGCCCCGGACAGCTCCATATCACTTCAGAACAGGCCAAAGATGAGCCCAAGAGCGGGAGCAGGAAGCCGCCAGAGACCTCCGAGAGGACTCCGGGACCCCCCAGAGGCCTCCAACACACCCAGACCCTTGAGAGGCTCCAAAAAATCCCCGACGAGGCCCCCCAAACAGCCCAAGAGAGCTTCGAGAGCCGTCCCGAGAGAGCCCGAAGAGGGTAAAATCGTTGCTTCCCAGTGGTGTTTGTCGACGCTTCCGCCTTCTCACGTTTTCCCGCTTCCAACGCCCCAAGATCGAGGACTTTGAACAAAAAGAAAGGGAATTCCAGAGATCCCCTATTGCTTTTCAAGTTGGGACTCCTACTCCCGATCCTCTTCCTCGAGCACCTATCAAGACTTCGGGGTCACATGCAAAAATGTTTCGGGGATGCTGTTGAACTCTCTGACGCGGTCTTGGCAATCTCGGGGATCGTCTTCGTGCCCTCTTGGCAGCCCCTGAAACCATTCTGTACAAATCGAGATCCCATGATCCCATGAATTGAAGCAGTGGAATGTTAGACTTCCTTTGTTTTTCAAGCTCACCCTCTGCTCATTTTGCACGAAGACCCCAAGAGGCAGCCCAACAGACCGTGGCCTGCATTGGAAAACGTCAGATAACCCACAGCCCAGGCACTACAACTTGAAAGAAAGGGTATGGAAATCCCACCATTCCGTTTTTTGTTTCCCAAGTTCGCCCCCTGTCTATTCTTGCACAACAGACCACAATGAAGGCCCCAGAAAAGAACCCAGGAAGCTTTCGAGGGCCCCAAATGGTTGAAGACTAAACGGCAATGAACGATTTGTGCGTTTCCGCAGATCCCCGTCTATACGATTCCGAGGCCTGCGCAGGGCCCCCAAAAGAGTCCCTGGATACAAGAAGCGAGAAGGATGATATTCCATGCGTTCGCCCATCAAGCCTAGCTAGAACTTGAGCGCGCGCGAAACGCGCGTGATGGTTCTAGTAAATAGATATGCGTGCACATATACATTGACATCGAAACATAAATCTATACACTTACATCTACAACGGCATGAACACATACATTTACACATGCACATGTGAACGTCTGTATATTGTATAGATATGACGGGGGACCGGACGCAGGGGCCCGTGGACCACGACCATTATGTCAAATGGGGTCTGGAGAGCGGTCCGACGGGCGTCACGGCGCCCCAAGACAGTCGCGAACCACCCTCAAGACGGCGCCCAGGGGTGTCAGACGGCTCGCGAGGCGTTTCGGACCGCCCGTGAGGCGTCCACGGCGCTTGACGACCTGCCCAAGAGGTTCTCCAAGAAGGCCCCGACAAGCAAGCATCGTCCCATTCCCTGTTTTGAAACGTACATTGATTTTTCGTTTTGGGGGTCCTCGTACCGTCCTTGACGACTTCGGAGGCCCCCAAGGTCGCCCCAGGACTGCCCAAGAGGCCCCCAAGAGGATCCCACGATGGCCCAAGAAGGTCCCAAGACAGTCCAAAAGGCGCCCACGACGGCCCAATCGGGCCCCAAAAGAGACCAAAGAGGAGCCCAATATTCGGAACTCCAGCTGAAATTCCGAACCCCTCGTCCCAAGAGGCCCCCAAGAAGCCCTCAACAGGCTCCAAGAGGCCCCCAAGATACCCGCGAGAGCCCCCAAGGGGCCCCCAAGAGGCTTCCAAGAGGCCCCAGGAGGCCCCAGGAAACCTGTAGGAGACCCCCAAATGGCCTCGAACGGGTTTCTGAGAGACTTACCAAGAAACATTAACATACATCTACGAGAGGCCTTTGGTCCACAACCTAGCCCAGTTCCGGTGGCGCCGCCGGATCGGCACAGGTTTTGTTGGTATTTGTACGTATGTTTATGCTATTGCATGTATGTGTATGTACAATCGTGCATGCATACATACATGCGTACGTGCATGTGCGCATGTAAGAGGAAAGAGAAATCACTTGGCCTAGCGAAGGGTTCACCCCTATGCAGCTGCGTGCAGCGCAGGGCGCGGCTCTCTATTCAAATACTGCGCGCCGCGGGGCAGACCGGATAGGGGGTCGCTGCGGATCTAGCGCGCATGTGCACGTTGAGCTCCGTGTGGGCGCGATCCGCGTGAAGGGGGTGGCCGCCGCACGAGCGCTCCCACTGAGGCCGCAGGTGGAGCTCCTTGTGGAGCGCGATCCGCGTGTAGCGGCGCCGAAACGAGCGTGGGGACGCCATGCAAACTTGCCCATGGGTGCCATAGATGGATATCCTTGCGGGTTGCGATCTGCGTCAGGGGCGTGCGGAAATATGCGGAGGGACGCCACGCGACTCATCCCGTTTGAGCCGTCGGTGGAGCTCCCTATGGGGCGCGATTCGTGTGAGGGGTGTGCCGGAATGTGCGTGAAGACGCCATGGAAATTTTCTTTCTGGGGCCGCAGGAGGAGCGCCCTTTTTGGGCCACGATCCCTGTCAGGGGTGTCCCGCTATGGGTGGAGCGGATGCGAGCCTTGTCTCTGGGGCTGCCTTTGAGCTCCCTGTTGGGCACGATC